CGGACTCGAACTCAAAACTGTATATCATTCATACTCGATTCTAATCAAGAATAATCGGCCTAGAATAAGGGGAAAGAAAAATATCTTTATAAACGTTCTACCCAGCATTACTTCAGTGTAAACACTTGACATCAGTTTTGCTTCTACTAAATTTTGTTTCACAGAATGTTTAAAACGATTTGGTAACTGAATATCTCTTGAATAGTTCGTTGTATGACTATTAATTCTAATTTAAAAATTAATCTAATCTAGCAAATTGTCTGAGTGCGGAAATTTTTGCATATCGTAGCCCCATATGCGTATGCGCAACCACATAGGTGTTTTATCGTTTGTTCTTTCTACTTTACTTTAAATTAGTATATATATATATAGAGATATATTATATCTAAAAGCAAAAGAACCTAAATTTTCTACAGGATTGGAGGAAAGGAAAATGAAAAAAGAAGAAAATATTCCTAACTAAATAGGCAGAAAAAAAATTAATCATGTCTTGTCAAAAACTTGTTCAAAGTTAATTGAGATATTTTTAAAAGCATATGCTAATACTGTTAAAAATAGTACTATATAGTTTTAGAATGCAAATAAGAGAAAAATTTTAGATAAAAAATATTAGAACGGAAGCAAAATTTTCAAAAGTTAATAAAAATGTTGAAATTCGAAATTTTTATGTAATAAAATTTCCTTTTTATATGACCTCTGGAATTGACAGTTTAGCTGTTATTTTCATTAAGTTAATGTTTCAAGTAATTCATTATTTTCGGAGAGAGTATTTGGTGTTGCAAAAGCCATTTTACCTTTTAAAATCTTTATGGCATGAATAGCAACTGAATAACTAAGCCTTTTTTTTAAAAGGACAGACAATTTTAATTCTGTATAGTTTTAGTGGAAGGTTTCATAGGAATACGGTTTGAATTAGGGAGTCTACCTTATTTAGTTCACTTCCTTAACCCTTTGACGCGCGATATTATTTTTATAATTTTTTTAACTAAAAACTCTAGAAATTGAATATTATGATCCTAGAGACAAATAATATATGAATTAAAAAAAAATCTACTCTCGCCCATTGTTTGTGGGTGGGGGTCGCACTGTGAACCGCCACGCATCAGGACTAACTTAAGTAGGAGAGAAAAAAAAAAAAAAACTTCCCTTTCCGTGCGCCGTTTCCATAAATAACAAATTAGATTTTTCTTTATTAAATGCCGTATGAATTGCATAATAATATTGTTATTATTTGCAAACTAAATCGTCAAAAAATTAAACAGTAAAGATTTATTAATTATTCTCTAGCAGGTGAAAGTATAAGTACTAGTAAAAGGTCGTTTGGGTACCTAAAAACTCAGTAAAATCTGAACAAAAAAGGCTCTTTTTTTTTTTTTTTTTTTTTTTTAATTCAAAGACAACATTTTTTGGACATGTTCAGCATGTTTTCTTTTTGGTGCATGCACTAGACCCACATGCATGTTTCGCAACTGGATCTTCTTCTATGATTTCTGCCTTGTGATACACACTAGACCTGAGGATCTAAATTGCACGGATCTGTCTTGTTTCTTTTCATCGGCACATGACATGTGTGGTTTTATGTAAGGGGGGGCTGATCTTTTGGCTTTGGTACGGATCTTAGTCTCCCATTCACCACTTATGTTTATTCGATTCGTCTCAAGTATTCAGAAATATTTTAATTTTAAAACTTTACGCGGCCTTCTATTTTTAATGACAGCCCCCCCAAAGTTATTTGCATAAATTTAAAACACAGAAATTAGTTTTATAAAAGCAAGAATAGCTTGGGGCAGCAAGTGGTTGAGGTCAGAGAAAGTCTCTAGAAAAGAAAACCCTTTAGCGGGCAGTGCTGCGGATTGGGTCGAATAAAAATAACTCTGTGATTTCCCTTTAAAACTTCTCTAAAAAGGCGGTAAAAATAAAATCTATTTTGCAAGAAGCCAACGCCATGTGAAAGAGAGTGATTTCAGGCGCGACTACAAAGACTCAGACATTGTGACCAAATCCTCTAGTGGGCGTGGTGCGCGCCCTGAAACACAAAGCAAATTCATAAGTATAGAGGGTTTTTTCTATATGCAGTTAATTATTGCTACTTTTTATTTATGATAGAAACATGATGGCGATGAAAACTTTGAAATTTTAAAGTTGTTTATATTAATAAAAGGAAGTTTTTTGTCTCACTGAAAAAAATTAAAAAGCATCCCGATTTGAAGTACTGAGACAAAACAGTATGATTTGTAGGCATTTGTGGATTAGAGGTCAAGATCAGTAATCATTGATTTTCACTCAAAAATTTCGGAAGGACGAGGAGAAAAAAATTAGAAAATTGGTGGTTTCAGGGCGCGACCACCGCGTGTCAAATGGTATTAAACACCTAAGGCCAAGTGCTCGAGATATTTAATCAAGCAACCCTTTTGAAAGACATTTTATCATTAACACATTTTGCTTTTCACCATTTTTATGGAAGTTAATTAATTCACTTAGAATTTTCATTATCATGGTTGCTTTAGTTCATAGTATTCTAGTCGGATTTCTTTCCTTGGGTTAATTAATTTTGATTAATACACATAAATTTGCCAGCAATCAGGGCCTAAAATTGGTGAATTAAAGATGTTTGTACATAGGAGAAACCATGAAAACTCCATGCAGTCATCAGTCAGTCCAGTCAGTATTCAATGGTCTTGTGCATTGGCAATTAGCGACAATTGGCTTATTATTCTTTAATTCCCTACTTCATGAGTTGATACAAATTCACATTTTGTACCAGTGTAAATATTATAAAATATTAAGAGACAAAATTCATGTGAACTGTTTACCTACTATTAATCAAATCCTAGAAAAACTACCAACATTTAGCGGTCTCAAATATTCGGCTATTGGGAAATTTATTCGTGGATTAAATCAAATTGTTTAGCTTATTAATCATTCATAAAAAATTCAATTCTCGAAAATTCAAGGATGACTTGAGTCTGAAAGCAACATTTGTGGTCCATTCGCTACCGCAAATGTCATCGCCGTGCGAAGCACAAAATACGGGTTTTTCCCCGTTTCGGGCGCCATAAATTATTCTCAGACTATTGCCGTTCAGTGAACAGTAAGATCTCAAACGTTTCTCTGAAATTTAGTACGTGCGTCATTGATTAACTAAGTCAGCGATTTAAAAGCAACAAATCCACTTCTCCTCAAGCAATAAATTCACAAGTCGTATTTTATATTTTTAATAATGTATCAAACTGAAATTAACTAAAAGGCATTTAATTTATAACTAAGTGCGTATTGTCGGTGTTTTTCGGGCTTTAGATGAGAAAGGCTTGGGTAATAAAAACTGATTACTCGTGGTACAGTACTGGTAATCTTATAGTGTTAAAATTAGGCGTATTAGACTAAACGAAAGACTAAACGCCTCCTACCCCTGAACTGGCTGTTTTACACTACTGATAATCCTCTTTTTTTTTTTTTTTTTTCATTTATTTCAGCAAAGCTTGGTGTATTAGCAATTTTTTTTTCTATGAAAAAGACGGAAAATAACTTTTCTCTCCTCTAAAAAATAAAATGCTTAAATTGCTTTTTATGTGCTTAAACACTCAACCCATTCTATATTAATCGATAAAATAATGAAATTAACTTCTTATTTTGCATAAATGTTGAAACTGAAAACCTATTTTTGTTTTTATTTCAACTGAACTAAAATCAACCACAGAAAAGGCTCACAAATTTTAAAACATGAGAAAAAAAAAAAAAAAAAAAAAAAAAAAAAAAAACTGGATGTACTGAAGTCACGAGACTTCAAAAATACTCCAAATTTAGGGAGGGGGTTAAAATCTGGTGAATAATTCAAGTTATTGAATTAGTCGTGATATGATTTCAATTTAAAATATCTGAAATTTAATTTTTTAAATAAAATAAAATTGAGTATAATACTGTCTACAATAATAATAATTAACATTGATATAATTGCAAAACTGCGATTTTCGTCTAATTTTCATTGTAGTATTTTCTTTCTTTCTTTTTATTTGTTTATTTACTTTTTACGAAATTCAATCAGATAAAAAAAAAATATATATATTTAGTCCTAGTATACTGTACACACGGGATTACGCGACATTCTGATCAGCATTAAACGAGTCATTTTGGTGTTGGCGAAAATTTTCAAAATCGCGCCGAGGCCGTACCGTATACTAAGATTTTACCAAAACCTTTTTATCAAAATGCTTTTGAATTTGATAAAAATAATAACGAATGTGCATATTATCATGTGTACCATTTATGAAGATACCATTTAAAATTTAAAGAAAATTTATGTACAAATATTAATCAAGTCTTCCTAAAATATTCTACAAATCTCTGTAGCACATTAAAATTCTTTAAATAGAATAAAAATTAACCAGGAAATTACACTATTCGGGAAAGGTGGGAATCCTAGCTCTAGCCGTTTATAGGCGTTGACCATTAGTGAAAGCAGTGGTCTTTTTATTGTGGAGGCACCGTATAAAACGTGGTCAGAGTTGTTTGTTATGAAGGAACGAACAAATTACATCCATACCTTCTCCAAAATTCGAGCGCGAGCTCTTAGGTACAGCAGTCAGAATCACTAACCACACTTTCCCATCTGGGCAGCAAATCATAAACTGAAAGTTTGTAAAAACGAGACTTGCTATATTTATTTATTCTTCAAGCTGTACTGCGTTCATCGCGCCTAAGCATGTGGTTTCCTGCTTTGTGAAGTTATTGACACGAAAAATCACTGACCTTGACCTTGACCTTTCCCTACAAGATCCTGTTAAAGTGTAAATGGCACAGTGATGTAGACTGTGATAGGCCTATTGAGTCAGAAAGGGGGAATGCGATAAAAGGGGTTAGTTAGCGGTTAAGTCGAAGAAAGGGAAAACAAAGAATCTCTAAGGAGAAGAAGTAAAGGTTTCCCGAAGCAAATGTGGCTCCGCCAGACTGAAGAGACACTCTGTGTATGTCCCTGAAGCTCATTTTAAAGGGGCAATCCATCCACCCTCCGTACCTTTCTGCGCATGTGCGAAATAGCAGGCAAGAAACCGGCATGTCGTCAGCCATATTAGCAATCTTTTACCACGTTGTTCGAAGAGGTTCATTGAAAGTTTTTTTCAGTTCTTTTCTCTGGTTATTTAAGCAGATCATAAGATGGATGTTTCGCAAGGACGATCACCGGAATTCACCCGATTCTCTTTCTGTGAGGTAAGCTTGCTTTTTTAATTCGAAAACCTATCATAGATTTTAAAAATTGATTTTGTATAGTACATTAATTTTGATTCCCAAGCTCCAAAAATATTTTGTCTCATTGTATCAACACAGCAGCTAGATTTTCATTCTTAATATATTAACTTTGCATTTTAGCATATGAATCTCAATTTATATAATTAATCATATGGCAAACAAATACTATAGTTTTTGCAGGCATATTGGTATTTCTTTCCAAATTTTTTAAATGAGTTTTAAGCTTTAAAGTCAACTAATAATAATATTACGACAAAACGAGCGATCAGGAATAAATTTGCCATTTATAATAATGCGGCAGCTAATGGCATGTATGATTGCATAAATTAATTTTATTAATAAATTGTATTATGCTTCAGCTTTAAATTTATGCTATAGATTACCAAATAGTTTATCTGAGAAAATTTATAAACTTATTTAATATTAGTGGCCACTGAAGACTTATTTTTAATTTAGTATATTGATAGTTATATACAATTTTTCGTATTTTATGATTATTTTTGAAAAATTTTATATTCATTATTATAAAAATATAATTTTGATTTCTCTCAATATTTGATGTGGTTTGGTGAATAACAGACTAACTCAATCTATCTTTTACTTAGCAAACAACCCAAATCCTGGTATCGCTGTTGTGTTTGTGGGACAACGTCTCGAAAAACACCAGACAGGAAATTCTTCAGATTTCCTAAGGATCCTATTAGGTAAATCATTTCTAAGTTTAAAAGAAACTAAGCTTTGATTATTAATAATATATATATATCTCAATTTTTGATAGAGAAGCAAATATTCATGTATGTATTTGGAATAATTTAAATAAATAGCTTGTTTTTTTTTCCATTAAGTGTTCCTCATCATAGACAAATAGTTCAGTGTTCTTCTGTAAATATCCAAGATAACTGTGCTTGTGATACAGTTGCTCCCAAAAGTGTTCATACACTTTAAGAATTTGTAAAAAATGCGCTGTAGCCCGGAATTGAATTTGATTATAAAGCCCAATATTTTCTCATATCTCGAAGTGATTTTGAATAAAACCAAATTTTTTAAAAATTTTTTCTTCTAATATTTTAGAAGATAATTTTTGTAATTTATGTATTACAAGCTTGAATGCTGCAGGATATCCTACAAAAACTGACAGAAATTTAACTGCAATATTTCGTAATAGTGTCTGCAGATTTCTTTAAAGTGCACGAAGATTTTTGTGAGGTAACTTTTTTGTTACTTTTTAATTATTAATTCCCCCCCCCAAAAGTTTTACTGTATTCTTATAATACTTTTATAGAGTTTTGCTAAGATAAATTTATAGATATTAAAAAAATTCTCACAGCACTATTTCACTGAAACATAAGTGTACGAACACTTTAGGGAACCACTACATATTAGTGTGAATAAGGAAGGAAACATTTTAAAGATGCACTTTACGAACAATGTGTACTTTTTATTGGTGCCTTATCCTTTTTTAATCATATTGTTAACAAAACTGTACAAAGAAATGCTAAATTGTTTAACTAGATACTATGACCGGTAACTACAATTTAACACAATATCTGCAAAATTATTGGTTTTCGTACATCAAAATAAAATTAGATGAAATGCAATCATTTCAGAATTTGTTACTAATGTAAAAGGAATTTTTTAACAAGGTTAAATTTCTAATAACACTGAAAAGAGGTTCTTTTAATTAAAGAAAATAAAATTGTTTTTTGTTTTTTCATAGATCAAAATAATAGAGAATTAGTATAAATATGTCAGAAATGTAATAAATCATATTATGTACATGAATTTTTCCTTAAATTATAATTTAATGTTTGTTCTTAAAAAATATATAACCCTTCTCGAGATTGTGTAACTAATGTATAAGGAATGTTTTTAGTTTGCTATTTTTCTACTAACACTGAAAATGGATTTATTGAAATTTAAAATATAAAATTAATGTTTTTCATTTTTATAGATCAAAACAATGGGCTGCCGCATGCAGTAATCAAGACTTGTTAAATATAATCACCAACTGATTTGTATAAAACTGCACTAATATGTTCGTCACACTTCCAAAGATCATGATTACTGTTCACCAAAGATGCGATATTTACATTCCTGTGCAGTGCCGACAAAATTTGAACAAACAGGTATCTACAGTGTTTACTGTTATTATTTCAATATGCTTAACAATAGTGCCATCTAAGAAATAACTCATCAATAATAGTGGATCACCTGTCATGTTATGCTCAAAGAATACTGTGCAACAAAATTGATGGTTTGGATCGCCTGTCAAGACTTGTTAAATAAATCACCAACTGATTTGTATAAAACTGCACTAATATGTTCGTCACATTTCAAAGATCACGATTACTGTTCACCAAAGATGCGATATTTACATTCCTGTGCAGTGCCGACAAAATTTTGAACAAACAGGTATCTACATTGTTTATTGTTATTATTTCAATATGCTTAACAATAGCGCTATCTAAGAAATAACTCGTCAATAATAGTGGATCACCTGTCATGTTATGCTCAAAGAATACTGTGCAACAAAATTGATGGTTTGGATCGCCTGTCATGTTATGCTCAAAGAATGCTGTACAACAAAATTGACGGTTATTAGTCGAAATATTGACTGTTGATTTTTGGCAAAATTAAAATTATGTAAAATCCAAGCATACAGCATTTTTAGAATTATTATATGTATAGTGAAGGTGGAAAATAGGCATTTCTTGCAATTTCTATTTAAAAAAAATTAATTTCTAATTTCATAATTTGAAACAATCTTCATCAGGATGAGCTGCAGCAATATTTATTTGATTCAGTGGATTATTTACAAAACTTCTTAATACCTATAGGTTTGATTTTCAAGTTAAGTATTTAATCTTATATTAATAAATGTGAGAAGTATTGAATATTTTATGAACAAAAAGAATGAAATTAGTTATTTTAGTAATTTATGTGCAACTTATGTAAGACTTTTTTAAATGTAATCTTGTATTTGTTAATTTAAGTGAAATGCTTTTGGCTTTTGGTTGCAAACTTTGCTCTTTTTTCATAATGGTCATTCCAAATAATTAAAATTTCTCTTTTTTTTTTCTCTTTAAAGTTGAGGTCAGATAATTGTAATGTATTTCAGTGTTTTCAATTTATTTAGGGGTACTTTTAATTGTTTTTAATTATTTTTTCTGTTTTGGTTAGTTATATGCAAATTTTGCTTGTAAAATTTTAAATATGGATTCATAAAAATTCATTATGTGTTGCATGGTATGTGTTTTTCTTCTTTTTAAGCTTACAGAATTAAATGTACTCATTGGTCAAATAATTCTTTATTAAATAGATTTTTGGCAAAATTAAAATTATGTAAAATCCAAGCCCAAGCATACAGCATTTTTAGAATTATTATATGTATAGTGAAGGTAGAAAGTAGGCATTTTTTGTAATTGCTACTTAAAAGAATTAAGTTCTAATTTCATAATTTGAAATAATCTTCATCAGGATGAGCTGCAAAAATATTTATTTGATTCAGTGGATTATTTACAAAACGGCTTAATACCTATAGGTTTGATTTTCAAGTTAAGTATTTAATCTTATATTAATAAATGTGAGAAGTATTGAATATTTTATGGACCAAGAGAATGAAATTAGTTATTTTAATCATTTTTGTGCAACTTTTATAAGACATTTTAAATGTAATCTTGTATTTGTTAATTTAAGTGAAATGCTTTTGACTCTTTGTTTTCATAATAGTCATTCCAAATAATTAAAATTTCTTGGTAATTTTTTTATTTTATTTTATTTTTTTTTTTTGAGGTCAGATAATTATAATGAATTCAGTGTTTTCAATTTATTTAGGGGGTAGGTGTAATTTTTTAATTGTTTTTAATATTTTTTTGTTTCAGTTAGTTATCATGCAAATTTTGCGCTCATAAAATTTTAAATATGGAGTTATATTATAAAAATTTATTATGAATTATATGGTATGTGTTTCTTCTTTTTGAAGCTTACAGAATTAAATGTACTCATTGGTCGAATAATTCGGGATTAAATAGATTTTTGCAAAATTAAAATTATGTAAAATCCAAGCTACAGCATTTTTAGAATTATTATATGTATAGTGAAGATGGAAAATAGTCATTTTTGTAATTGCTATTTAAAAAATCAATTTCTAATTTCATAATTTGAAATAATCTTCATCAGGATGAGCTGCTGCAACAATATTTATTTGATTCAGTGGATTATTTATAAAATTTCTTCCCAGGTTTTAATAACACCTGGAAGGTTTGATTTTCAAGTTCAGTATTTAATCTTGTATTAATAAATGTAAGAAGTATTGAATATTTTATGAAAAAATAATGAAATCACTTATTTTAATAATTTATGTGAAATTCTTTAAAAGGCCTTTTAAGTGTAATTTTGTATTTGTTAATTTAAGTGAAATGCTTTTGGTTCTTGGCTGCAAAATTTGCTCATTGTTTTCATAATGGTCATTCCAAATAATTGTCTAAAAAATTCTTGGTATTTGTGAAGATGCTTAAAATTATTTTGCATATGTATATTCTAAAACTTGAGAAATGTCAATAAAAATCATTTTTTTTACCTCAAATGTGTTATTCTTTGTTTTAATATTTAATAATATGCTTGATATGAAAAGAAAAATAGCGTTATTTATGTAATTAATTGCAGATTTGTTAGAAATCTAACATCACAGCAGTAGTTAATTTTGTTTTCTATTAATTCTGATGTTAGTTATAAATTAATGCTAGATATTATATCAAAAGAATAACAATTCTGTGAGTTTACAGAAGAAGAGAGTTAAGGGGTAAAATTAAGGAATATAAAAATAATAAAATTTATTTATTCATTTATTTTGCAATTGAATTTTAGGATGTTCTATGCGAAACATCTAGACGATTAAAGATTAGAAGATAAAAGATCAGCTACACAATTTATCTGAAATGTATGAAAATAAAACATTTTGAGGAATTTCAAAGTAAAAAAAAATTACTATCTCCTCGGACTGCGCTTTTAAATTCCACCCTGCGCTGCTGTTTCACTGCATAGCAGCCGTGGCTCCTCGATATAGCGGCGCAGAGGCGAAACAAGTTTACATTGCGTCTATGGAAGCTTTCATTCTTTTCCTTACAGATTCTTTGGGGAAAACTGACAGAGACTATTATTTCGTGACAGCAAGACGTCTTTAGCGAGTAAAGATAAGCCAGTTTAACTTACGAGGTTAAGAATCTGATGAAATCTGACATTCTTGCTTGCCATAACAGAAGATATGCAAAGAAGAGGGTGAAACAGAATAAACTGCAGAGCCAGTAAATTGACTCAAATTAAAGCGATACTTTAATAAATTAATATGTTTATAATAGGGAGATTTACTACATTTTGAGTTTATTTGAATCAAATAAAATCTGACATTTTATTCGGATTCCCTTCACATCCATTTCAAACAAGAAATTGAAGATAAGTGTCATTTTAGCGGTAAGAAAAATATATTCTGCCCATTAACTATTCAAACATGAATTATCTTAGCATTCAAATTTGGAATAAATTTTTTAATTCTAACCTTAGGCTTTAGGGCTTCATATATATCTAAAACTTTTTATAGCGCTATTAAAAGAAAATTAAATCAAATAGCCTAAAGCGTATGGAGTTCGTCTGACCGAAGCAACCACTTTCCTTAAAACTACCGGCATCTTTTCGAGTTGGTCGTTGTTCTCTACGACACAAGAGTGCCAGGTACCCTTATAACAATAATTTTATACCATGAAGTATCCAACCTTCATCAAGATGCTGGAACACACATGCGAATAATCGCTAAATTAAATAAAAGTGCCGGCATCAAAATTGAATCACCAGGGTGACGGGACATGAAAACTCCTCACATTTGTGCTATGGATTAAAGAACCGGATCCCTCAATTGCAAATTTCAGATGAGCTAATGAAGACAGAGTTAAGACGATGGGTTTGTAGAGACATTAGACCACTTCGAAGCAGAAGACATGAAAAATGTTCAATGCCGTCACAGGGACTCGAACCTCTCGAATACGTGTCGAGCTTGCTGACCATTACACCACGAAGGCATGTTAAGAAGGCGAGGAGGAAGTTTAATACATTTAACATTAGCTTATCTTGCGAATTTATTTCTTAAATAGCCCAAAAGTGCTATTAGTCTCGAAACACGATTTTACATTTTTTCACTTTTCATCCGAATCTGTTGTCTTTTGGTAAAACGCAAGATATTAGTCTTTCATAATTAAGTCATTCATTAACAAACTAAACTATTTAGAAGTAACAGATGCAGCTCTTAAGAATACTATTATTATGCAACAAGTGTTACAATGCAGTATATAATATATACCTCATGTTATACTATAGACACTAATAAGGACAGTCTTGGACCGAAATTCGAGGTGGATTTACTTTTAATTAGTAACTAAGAACATAATTTCAGAGTTTAATTTCATATTTTCCTTCAATTACGATTAGTAAAAAAATTAGCAATGGAAAAAATATTTTTCAGATGAATAATACAGAAACATGAAAATAATGACTTTTGAATATCGCGTAGTAATTAAATAAAATTCAGTACTGTGTTATGTTTGTAACCTTATTTTAACTTTTCAAAATATGGGAATATATCTAGGATAATTCAGGAAAAATTCTTTTTAATTTTGAAATTAATAAAATGGAATAAGTATTACTGTATTAACATAAAGGGGAAAACGTCTGAATTTTAAACAAAACACTAGTTTTCCGCTTGAAAAGTTCTAGTTGACGAAAAGTAAAAATGGCATTCCCCCCCACCCCCTAAATCGCAGAAAGCATTTAGCATACTGGCGGTTTTATGCTGTCAGACCAGATGATATAGACAAGGTGTCCACGTGTTATCCTCCTGGGATTTACAGGATTCCAGTTTTGAAACCCAACGAAAATACTAGCATTCCAGACTTCAACCACAGAGGTCAAATTTTCTTACATAAGTGACTTGGTAATTAAAAAAATCTGATGTGTACACCACATG